AGCACCAGGGTCACCCCAAATTCCCCATGGACCTCTCACCCCACACTCTCACCCCAACACCCACCAGTGGATGATGCAAGGATGGATCCCACTCCTATCAATTTACACAAGGAGATGGAGGAGAAACCACCCCCTTGCAGGGCCAGGGAAGGGGCAGAACAACAGCAATGGCTTTGTTGAATTGGAAAAATAGATTTAACTGTGTGTGAAGTAATTAAAACATGTAACGTAGGGAAAAAATAGCTCCAGTTCTCCCCCAGCCACTGAGCCAGCCGCTGCATATTTATGGCCCCGGCAGAGAGAGTGGAGAAGGAAATAATAGCTTGGAAAATATGAAGAGGAGAGCTAAGCTGCCGCGCTCCCCGGCAGAGCTGCGGAGGCAGAATATAAAACAGGCTGCGTTCGCGGGACTGGGGAGTCTATAATTTCCCTAAGTCGATGCAGGGAAAGAGCAGCACTTTGCCGGGCTGGGCGGTGGATTACTGTTATCAGTGCTTGCAGGGAGCCTTCCCCGCAGAGACAGGGATGGGCTGCCAGAGGGGGAGGGCTGCAGCGTGGGGCGTCGTGGGGAGGGGAGGCACTCAGAAAACTCTCAGGCAGCTTCGTTGTGGTCCTGCTGCACCCCTGTCCCGGCTGGAGCAGAGGGAAAGCCCCGTGATTACCTCCAGGCGCTTGACTTGCGTCCTCTCGAACTCCAGCCTGGTCTCCAGCTCACGGATCTTGGCCTCCTGCCGGCTCACCAGCGACTTGTCCACCATGGATTGCTCCAGGAACTCCAGCTGGCTCTGCAGACCTTGCAGCTGCGGGAGAGGGCACAGCCTCAGCCTCGACCACAATCACCCTGCCCCCAGTGCCACGCTGTCCTGGAGGAGAGCTGCTGGCCATGCTATGCTGCTCCCATCCTGATGGAGAGCTTCCCACCATACTGCTCTGCACCCCCATGGTGCAGGGCAGTCCTGCATGGTCTCTGGGTGCATTGTCCTAGCTGCATCCTCACCTTCTCCTGCAGCTCCTGCTTCTCCTTGCTGACCTCCTCCAGCTGTGCCTGGAGATCATTCATCTGTGCCAGGTCCCGGGATGCCTGCAGGACACACCAGGGCCATCAGTGGGGGATCCCACTGCACTGGCTCCAAGAGGGAGATCTTGAGGGGGTGGGGTGGGTGCAGCTGCTCCTCCCACTTCACCTGGGCCACAGCTGCCTTGTGCTTCTTCATCAGCTCATTCATGTCCTCCTGGTCCTCCTCCAGCCGGCTCTGCACTTCATTCTTTTCCCGCTGCAGACGGCTCAGCTGCTCCTCCAGCTGCAGGGACACACACGTGTCTCCCACGGCATCCCAAGAATGGGGCACTCACCCCCCAAACCCACTCCAAACAGCGTGGGGCCACCCTGGGTGCAAATGGGGCATGGCCCCACCATGGTTCATCCCAACCCAAAGCCACTCACCGCTCCCTTGGCCTTGGCAAGGTCATCAATCTGCAGGTGGAGGTCCTCGATCTCCACCTCCATGGATTTGCGGGCCTTGACAGCGGCTGCACAGGTGAACTCCGACTCTTCCAGCTGCAGGGATACAGCTCAGTGCCTGGCCAGGGAACAGGGACACCCTGTGTCCTTGTACCCTGCAGTATGAGGAGTGTCTCGATGCACACCTGATTCTTGAGCTGGGTGATCTCCCTCTTGCTGGGTGCGTTGTTTTTCAGGTGGTCCAGCATGATCTGAGCATCAGCCAGCAGCGCCTTTGTTCTCTTCAGGTCCCGGCGCAGGCGCTTTTCCGTCTCAAAGTCCCGCTGGTTGGCCTGTGGCAGGGGAAACTTTGCCACAGTTCCATGCCAGAGGGGTGTCCACCCCACCATGGCCACCTCAGGGTCCCCAAAGCAAGGCAGATGCCCAGCTGCCCTTCACCCCACCTGCTCGCTGACAGCAGATAACTTGCTCTCCAACTCCCGCTTCTCTCTCAGCACCTTCTGCTTGTCCTCATACTCCTCCTCCAGCTGCACCTCCATCTGCTTCAGCTGGGGGACAGACAGGGGACAGCCAGTCAGGGCAGTGGGGAGGGGTCATGACCCCTCCTCACGTGTCCCCACAGCCTGGAGACACTGTGTGACCCCACCAGCTGGGTGTTTGCGCAACCAGAGGCACAGAGCCCGGCAGAGTGTGCTGGCCCNCACGGAGATGAGCGGGAGGAGGAGGGGGGCGGCCTCGGCAATTTGCGTCAGCGGGAAATGGCATCGTGGAAAGATGTCATGTAAATGGGGGAATTGTTCTAGCCCAGCACTTTGATCCCCCCTTTAAAGTGTTGCCTTCAATTTATTTCATTGTCGGCTACCTGGAGCCGCTGCGTTTGATTCCCGACTTCAGAAAAGGTGGAATTATCTCCAATAACAAAATGTTTTACATCTGCACCGCTGAATAAATTAAACCAATTAACAGAAACCAGCTCAGATCTTTCCTCCCTGCTCGGCAGAGGGAGGGAGTCCCCTGGGACTCCTGGAGCCCTGCTAGGAAATTGGGTTTGGATAAAAGCAATCTGCACTCAGCAGGCAAGCGTTTTACAGGGGGAAGGGGAGTGGGGCTGCGTGCTCAGCCCCATGCCGTGGGTGCACCTGGGCACGTTCCCCACCTCTGCCAACATTTTCTGAGAGGTGTGGGGAGAGATGGGGTGGGGCTGCAGAGGGGGGCAGGATGGAGCAGGGAAGCAATCCTGGAGAGATGGAATGCTGCACAGAACTAAAGCCCGGCACCACAAGCCCTGGGGAGGCAGATGGGGTGGGGGATGTAGATGCCCCATATGCCTCCATGGTGGGATGAGGGAAAGGGGACAGGGAGTTCCCCCTGGGTGGGGGGACATGTGTCCCCAATGAAGACTGAGCTGCTCACCAGCATTAATCCTTCCTTGGCCATCCACACAAGCACCAGGTGGGAACACAGCACCAAATGCCACATCCCACAGGCACCCACCCAGCCCTATGCATGTCCCAGCACAGCTCAGCCCATCCTCTGCCCGCCAGCCCCATGCCCAGCCCTGCACCCACCTGCTGCCCTTCAGGCTGCCATCATCAGAGAGCGTTTTGGAGGAGCCTTTGTTCTTGGAGAGCCAAGACTTCACCCCATCCACGCGCTCCTCCAGCTCTGAGTCCACATCTGAGTCACCGTCGCTGCCGGAGGAGCGGGTCAGGGTGGAAGAAAGCAAGAGGTCAGCAAGGGGCAGTGAGTTTTTGGGTGCTGGAGAGATGGAAGTGCACTGGAAGGCACTGAACCCCTCCAGCACCCACTGCCTGTGTACCCTGGCATGGGTGAAACCCCATCTATGGTTCTGCTCCATCTCTGGGGCATAATCTGCACACACATAGCTCAACCTGCAAGCCAGGGGCTCCCTGAAGCACCCCCAAACCCCTGTGGCTGCCCAAGGGGCTCCACACCCTCTGCCCAACATTTCCCTGTCACTGCCTGGCTCCAGAGCTGGAGACAGCAAGGCCTGGCTTTGGGGCAGCAGGCAGGGCACAGCTCCAGAAACACAGGAGATTTCCAGCTCCAGGATTGGGGAGGAAATAAGTGGGTTCATTTTATAGGCTGCCGTGGAGCGCAGAATTACAGCGAGGAAGAGCAATGCTGATGGCCCCGGGTAAACAGGAGTTTAGCAGGCGGAACAGAAACGGCTCTGGCACGGCGGGCTGGGAGCACAGCGGGCAGATTTACAGCCCTGCCGTGCCCCAGAGCCCCTGATTTACGTCCCGGCGTAAAAAAAGTCCTATCTGGCTTAAACCATCTAATTTATAACGGCCGTTGGTAACCATATTGATTGCCTTTAGAAAGAAGGTGCTGTGTGCATTGCAAAATCCATTCCTCCACGTTAAAAGCATCCCTGAATAAATCTCTCTTAATACCTCAGCGCTTACTGCTTTCATTAGGGCTACGGCAGCAGCGTCGGGATCTATACGGAAATTGAAGCGGTGTGGTCCCCTCTCGCCACCCCGCTCCCACCAAGGAAGGGATGGGATGTATCACAGGATCTTAAATGGCCCTTTCTCCACCTGTTTTTGGGCTTATTCCCTGCCTGGGAATGAAAGCAAACAGCACAAGGGACAGGTCTGGATAGACCCTGTATATGAATGCTTCTCTTTTTAAATTCAGAGCAACGAGCCGCTCTTCATCCTGCGCATCTCCCTCCCCTGCAATACATCCAGGCAACGCTGGGCTTGGGGAAAAAAAAACACAGAACGACACCAAAAAAAACCCCAACGAGCCCCAAAAACAATCTCTGGGGGCAGCTAAGGTTTTCTGACCAATGGAATTAAGCTCCACATCAAACACAGTTTATGTCCAGGCAAACGTGCCGTTAGTTAAGCAGGACCTGGGTCGTGGGAGCAATCATGGATGGGGTATTAATTAGTGTCAGCAGGGCTCCATTTCTGTCCCATGCTGACACATTTGCCATCAGCCACGGCAGAGCATCACCCCCCAGCCCATCCCAGGGGCTCATCCCGTCCCCATGCACGGGATGTGGTTATGTGCCCTGCTGTGCTGTGCTGGGCCATGCCGTGGGTGCTGTTAGGGCATGCAGAGTTGGGCCAGAGCATGCGGGACCCCGGCCCCCGGGGGTGAGCTGGGGGTTAGGGGAGGGGAGGAAGGAAAGAGATGCTCCTCACATTTTACTCTTTCTTTTCTGATACTTTGCCACCATGTCCTGCAAACTGGGAGGGGTTGGAGGGGGCAGGGTAGGAGGGGGGGAGAAACACAACAGAAAAGAAATTAAATGAAAGGAAAAAAAAAAAAAGACCAAGTGGGTGGGCAAATTAAATTATGGGGAAGGGTCAGGGGAGGGAGGTGAGGCTGCCCTGTGCCCCTGGAGTGGGGTTGCACTCAGCTGGATCCCAGCATCCCAGGTTGGGTGCTGGAGTGTACCCAAAGAAAGGCAACAGAGCTGAGGGAGGGTCTGGAGCACAAATCTGATGAGGAGCAACTGAGGGAGCTGGGGGGACTCAGCCTGGAAAAAAGCAGGATTGGGGGGACTTTTTCACTCCCTACAACTTCCTGAAAGGAGGTTGTAGGCAGGGGGGTCAGGAGCTGCTCCCAAGGAAAAAGCAAGAGGACATGGCCTCAAGTTGTGCCATGGGAGGCTTAGATTGGATATTAGGGATAATTTCTTCACCAAAAGGGTGGTCAGGCATTTTAACAGGTTGTCCAGGCAAGTGGTGGAGTCATTGCCTGGAAACATTAAAAAAATGTGTGGATGTGGCACTTGGGGACATGATTTAGTGCTAACATGGCAGTGCTGAGTTAACGGCTGGAGTTGATTTTCTCAGAGGTCTTTCCCAACCTAAACAATTGTATGATTCTATAATTCTATCCTGGGCTGGGCTGGATCCCAGCATCCCAAACCTCCTGCCAGCTTGTGCTGCCCTGGCTCCTGGGGCTCCCTGGGCTGTTTCCAGCCAGCTGGCAGGATTCTGGATGCATTTCAGGCACCTCCACAAGTGGTTGAAGCTCCTGGGGGCTGCGGGTGGACGCAGGGATGGATGCACAGATGCATGGACTGATGCCTGTGTGCACAGGTGCCCGATGCATGGACGGACAGACACGGGTGCATGGACAGATGCACGTGTGCACGATGCATGGACGGATGCACAGACAGCATCCTGCCAGGGCCAGGCAGAGCCAAGGGGTCCCTGTGGCATTTCTGGAGTAGCAAGGGGAAGCAGTGACCCCCAGGGATGCAGGGGAGCCGTGCCCAGGTGCTCTCACCTGTTGATGAGGTCCTCATTGCTGTCACTCTCCATCTCATCCTCGATGGCCGCCTGCAGGTCCCCGATGCGCTTGAAGGCCAGCTTCAGGTCTGACTGCAGGCTCTGGTTGGCAGCTTCCAGGCTCTCCAGGTCCATCTCCTGCGGGGAGGGAGTGGGATGAGCTGGATTCCTCAGGGAACATCCCCTTGTGCCCTGCCTGGCCCTACCACGGGTTTCTCACCAGCTCGTGCTTCTTGCGGCTGGCTTCTGCCTCCTTCTTGGCCAGCTCGCCCATCTCCTCCTTGACGTCGCGGAGCTGCCGCTGCAGCCGCTTGTTCTGCTCCTTCTCCCGGTTCTCGGCGGCCGCGCGCTGATCCCGCTCCTCCGTCAGCTTCTCCATGTTCTCCTTCAGCCGCGTGGCCAGGCTCTGCCGAGCACCAGGGTCACCCCAAATTCCCCATGGACCTCTCACCCCACA